TGCTGCATACAAGAAACACACCTCAACTTCAAAGACAGACGGTACCTAAGAATTAAAGGTTGGGAAAAGATTTTCCAATCAAATGGACCCAAGAAACAAGCAGGGATAGCGATCCTAATATCCAAAAAATTGGACTTTAAACTAAAATCAATCAAAAGGGATGAAGTAGGTCACTTCCAACTCATCACAGGAAAAATCCATCAGGATGAAGTCTCAATTCTGAACATTTATGCCCCAAATACAAAGGCATCCACGTTTATAAAAGAAACATTACTAAAACTCAAATCACACATAAAACTGCACACACTTATAATGGGAGACTTCAACATCCCACTCTCACCACTGGACAGGAACACCAGACAGAAACTTAACAAAGAAACAAAAGAACCAATAGAAGTTATGGCGCAATTGGACTTAACAGGTATCTATAGAACATTCCACCCAAATACAAAACAATTTACCTTCTTCTCAGATGGAATCATCTCTAAAATCGACAACATACTTGGCAACATAGCAAACCTCAACAAGTACAAAAAAATTTGAAATAACCCCCTGTGTCTTATCAGACCACCATGCTTTAAAATTAGAAATCAACAACAACAAGAACTACAGAAAACCTACAAACTCATGGAAATTAAGTAACACACAATTGCACAATTCCTGTGTCGAGGAAGAAATAAAAAAAGAAATCGAAGATTTCCTAGAATTCAATGAGAATTCGGACACAACATATCCAAACCTATGGGATACTCCGAAAGCAGTGCTAAGAGGAAAGTTCATAGAGCTAAATGCCCACATGAAGAAACAGGAGAATAATCATACTAGAGAATTAACAGCACAACTGAAAGCTTTAGAACACAAAGAAGCCAATACAATCTGGAGGAGCAGATGCCAGGAAATAATGAAATTGAGGGCTGAAATCAATAAAATGGAAACTAGGAGAACAATACAAAGGATAAATATAATGATGAGTTGGTTCAACGAGGAAATCAACAAGATAGACAAACCTTTATCCAAACTTACCAAACAGCAGCGAGTGAACATGCAAATTAATAAAATCAG